CGCCCGTTCGGCCGCCCCGCCGACCTCCTCGGCGCGACGGGGCAGGAGGGCGAGCAGGGAGCGGTGCAAACCGTTATAAAGAGCGGTACCCGTCAGCAGCACCCCAAACCCCAAAATCTCCAGGCCGTGGAAGGTCTCCCAGCCAACGGCCAAGCTGACGGCCCAAATGACGAGGGTGCGGAGGCTGTCCAGCACCATGCGGGTGGTGGCACTGATCTCCTTGGTGACGCTGATGCCGGCGAAGTTGAAGAAGGCGATGCTGCTGATGTTAGCCAGCAGGGCCAGGGCGATGAGGGGGCGGTGGCCGATCTGGCAGAAAGCATCCAGGGCGTCTTCCCGCGTCCGCCGAGGGGTCCCGCTGACCTGTGACAGTCTGTTATGATACAACTTAAACATTTGGCAAGAGCTATGCGTAATTAACTCTTGCTGTCTTGGCAATCGGTTGATTGTGTAGGAATGGACTTTGTTTAGAGCGTGTGTTAAAAACCGCTGAAGCTGCAAAATAGGATAGGCCTTGGGGACAGAGATAAATTCCAGGAGCGCAGGATTTGAGTATTTAGGCAAGCTACTTTAATTTTCCTAATTGCAGTCATATTTTGCACAACCAGAGGAATGCTTAATCCATCTCTTGTGTGTGTTTCCAGAAGTAATTCTGTACTTTTCCTGACACTTCTTTTTGTGGAACGCGTTTACGCTGAAGAACACTACTGCTTATCTTTTGTGAATTGAGTTCCTGCTTCTCACCTGGCTATAGTGCAGAATATGTCACACCGTGTGCTGTTTCCGCTGGCCAGAGCTAGGAGACGGTTAACTCACAACGTACAAATCTTGTGATAAGGCAGAAAATCTGTCCTTCTCTTCTCCGAGGCTGAGAACTGATTACCTATTCATGGACTCAAAACAACTTAAGTGTCCTTCAGGCGCTCTGTAAAGTCAAAAGGCTAAGTTCCCAGACTGCCGTGTGTGCCTCAGTGTCTGGGGTCAGGCACAGCAGCAGAGCAATAATTCTGTTGGACAGCGAGTAGATGTAAAGATGAGCTTTGTGGTTTTAGCCAGGAAATCTCAAACAAACTTGTGGGTTTTTGAATACTCCTCCCTCTTTGGAACAATGGCCAGAGGAAGCGGAGGGCCATTTAGAATCAATCAGAAGCAAAGCTTTTTTACTTAGAGGAAGATTGCTGACACATACTGGTAACCCCACAATGAAATAAAAGCAAGCAAGGTTCCCATCCTAAAAATAACACTGATACTCGGAACAAGAAAGTTAATTATTTAATTTCCAATATTTGCTTTCAAAGCACTAAATGATTTTAAAAAAAGCCTTTATAGTCAATGTAAGAGGATGATACTCATGAGACCTGTTTTTTTTCCTCCAGTTCTGTGACAGGATTCCTTTTAGGCTCTGGGAAAGAAAAGTTTGTTATTCCCTCTGTGCCTCCAGTTCTCACAAAACATAAATCAACCCTTGGCACCCTTAACACAATTAACATTAGATACAAAAATAAAAAAATGCTAATGCTTTAAGGCAGTTCTTAGGCAAGTTAATCATGGCTATTGTCCCCACTGCCTTCTAGAGACAAATGTACAGTTAGAGTTTATCAGTGCCCCAAGAATTAGATTTGTTCCCATGCTCACAGCAGCATGATCGCTGCCCTGCATTTTAGCTGTCTGCCAAATCATAGACACTTTTTATTCTTCTATCGCATTTTATTGTCACGGTTGTTTTTTTGGTTTGGGCTTTGTTGCAGCGCCGTGTTTGCTGAACGCACACCAGCTTGCTGTCTGGGAGAGCATTGTTTGATTTAAGCATCTGTTGCTATTCAGAAAGGGCCAAGGAGCGACACATGGCTGACAGGGTTCTTCCTTCAGGTACCAGCTCCCCAGGAGCCCAGCGTGCATGTGTCAGATAAAGGAGGAGCACAGGAGACCCTCCGGATGGACACGGAGAGGGAGAGGAGAGGGAGAGGAGAGAGGGAGAGGAGAGAGGGAGAGGAGAGAGGGAGAGGAGGGAGAGGAGAGGAGAGGAAGAAGAGGAGAGGAAGAGGGAAGAGGGGGGAGAGGGAAGAGGGAGAAAGAGAGGCTGAGCCCCCGTCCCCTTGGCCAGCAGAGCTGATACCAGAGCCCCGCACGTGCCCTGCGGGGGGGTTATTTCCCTCCCCGTTCCCATCCCGCCTCCCCCAAGGGTCCCCCACGTACCGGTTATCACCTCGCTGAGCTTGTGTTTCTGGTCGTGGGAGCTGCGCAGGTCGGCCAGTCCCACCACCACCAGCCCCACGATGGTGACCAGGATGCCCAGCCACTGGCTCAGCTCCAGTTTACGCCCCAGGAAGGCCACCGAGAGGAGACCGGTGAAGATGATGACGGAGCCCCGCAGCATCTGGAAGCTGGAGGCACTGGTCATGTTCAAGGCTGCACGGGGAGAGACAGACCCACGAGTGGCGCGCGGTGCTGGAGCCGGCTAACGCCGCCGCCCCTCTGCTTAATAGCCTGCTGCGGTAATTAAGAGCAGATCAGTGATTAACGGGAGGAAGGGGCAGCGATATTGTGTCGTCCCCCCCCTCCCTCCTACTTTGAGCTGGCAGCAGAGAGAAGGAAGGCGGTTTGCTGAGCCCTGCCACAACTCGCTACATGGGTGGGAAGTGTTGGCTCCGACCCCTCTCACCGGCGGCGGTGTCATCGCTCCCCCCAAAACCGA